ACAAAGTAATAGTTTAAAAAATAAGAAAAATATATGGATGTAATACTTCTGAGTTTATTACATAACAAGTGTCGAAACAACTTCCTATTCTATGCGTCCTTCTATTTGTCTTACAAATACACAAAACACAAGGTAATGTATTACAAAATATTGTAAAAACACATTTATGTGAAACTAAAAATATTGATCTTTATAATGAATAAAAAATAATGAACAAGTTTTGAAATCAAAGCAAGGCTTACCTTTAGCAAATGAAGTTCAAAGTTCAATAGACATCAGGACATCAAGATATCATCTTATCTTAACTTAACTTAACTTAAAACTTAACTTGGCCATCCATATCACCGAAAAAATAAAATAATACAGTTTAACATTTTACTTTTCTCCGACTGATTAGTCCATAGTCTGCAAAGTATTGCAGTATTCCTTAGCTATTTCAAACTGATAAGGCAACTTTAAATTGTACATACTGATCTGTTCAGAAACTCAGCTATTTCCATACCAGTCCCTTTAAGCTGCACTATTCATTGACAGGGATATCCAAATTTGAAATATGGTTAACTTGGCAAACAGTGAATGAATGAAAGAAATGAATGAGATGAATTCTGAGGAGGGAAGGTGTTGCAAACCTCGTTTAAAATGCAAGAAATTAAAGCATTGATCATAATGAACATGTTTTAAAAATCAAAGTCAGGCTTACCTTTCGAAATTAAAACTGTTTTTAATCATCTAAACTTAATTTCAGTCAAAACTTAACTTTATTTAAAACTTAACTTAACATAACCTGGCCTATAACATCTTTATCACTGAAAATAAAATAATGCATTATTCGTTGACAGGGTATCCAAAATTGGAATAAGGTTAACAGTGAATTGATGGATGAATGAATGAATCAATCAATCAATCAATTAATCAAAGCATACACGAATGAATGAATTCTGAGGAGGGAGGTGTGGCAAACATCGTAGAAACGCCAATGATCTATACCAATAACACTAGCAAATCGGAGATGAAACTGAATTTAAAACATTGATCATAGTACTGAATGAAAGAAAATGAATATTTTCAATTCAACGTTACTCTTTGTTTATTTGCAGATATAAAGGGCTTTCCTTTCGTAAAGCTGTTTAAGATAATGGTTAATTCACATAAACATTTCAAAATTCAAACTGAACTTCCACATCCCCACGAATTGTTCTGAAATGATAAAAAATTAAACGATATAATTTTCAAAGAAAAATCTTCATTAAGGCCATCTGGTTCGAAAGCGGTGTAAATTATCCAATATAAGGGAATGAATGCATGAATGAATGAACGAATGAGCAAACCAGAAGGTTTTGGAATCGGATTAACTGTGCACATGAATGAAGTGAGGAACGAACGAATAAACGGATGAATAAATGAATAAAGTTGAATGAATGAATGATTCCGGTCAATTGACTTACCTTTGAAAAACATGTAAAGATGC